GCTTTATTCATATTATTGTATTTGTAAGTAAGTTTGTTTCTCTATAAGCTGGATGTTCATGGGCTATTAAATGTTGTACAAATATTACTACATGCCACTCATATAGATCTATTTTAATTACTATAGATCCATTACAATTATAACATTTAATGTCAGGTTGTGCTTCACATATTCTTTTTGCAAGTTGGTCATCTTTGTGTTTATGTTGGCGCTCAATTCTTTGAGCGCAGTATAAATAAGCAGTTGCGCAACCTGTGTATTGATTATTCTTTTTGTTATTATATAGGTTTTTGAGTTTCCAATAATATTCCGATCCACTTTCAAGAGGCACAAGTAATACGTTAACGATATCATAAAATTTTGTAGTTTCTTCATGATCAGATAAAATTTCATTAACAAATTCTCTTTTAATTTTTACCATTATAGAGAATTCGACATGGTCATCTCTTTCTTTACTATCTCTAAACCTGCCTCTTACGATTTCTTCAAGATCACTTATATCATAAACAAGATCTTCACCAATATCACTATTATCTTCATCTATTGGCATTTCTTCATTTAAAGAAAGAGAGAGAGCGGTTTCCTTAGGTGAGCTATTTTTAAATCATTTTTCTTTTTTTCTATTTTTGTCTTGTTCAGTACAAAGATTGCATTAGAAAAATATTTTAAGTTTATCTCCTTTCAGTCTAGTAAATTCAGAAATAGGTTTTGTCTTTTTATAGCAAGAATACCATTTGCTTTGTTTAATAGCATCATGAGTTTCAACATTTTGAGTAGACATTTTTTTAATTTTATGTTTGATATTGAGTATTGAAATTAATTTTTTTAAAAATTTGGATACGTTATAACTTAGGTTTGAATCTGTTATATTTATAAGTTTTAGATTTTATATTTGATATATTTAATTAAGTTGTTAACAAGTGGCTCTATAGCAGTTAATTTATTACATGATCTTTAATGAAATATGCATTTATTCATTCTAATTCTACTATTTAGTAATGTGTATTTATTCTAATTCTATTATTTAATAATGCGTATTTGTTTTAATTCTACCATTTAGTAATATGCATTTATTCTAATTCTACTAATTAGTAATTATTCTTTGAATCTGTAGTATACGTTATCACAGCGACCGAGATATAATGCATCATGATGCATGATATTATGGTAGCCGAGAAATAATGCATCACGATGCATATTATATCAGCCAAGAAATAATACATCATGATGCATGATGCTTTGGCTGATCTTTTATTATATGCATTATATCTGTGGTTGTGCATAACTTTCAACACTTGAAAGTTGTATATAGATTTTGAAAGTTTTTTCGCTATAGAACAATCACAAATAGCGTGTCAGACCTGTCATATATATAGAATATCAATTCACAAAAAACTACCTGGCCGGATAACAAGAACAATCTTATATTCTAATAAAAATAAAAATAAAATTTACAACTATTATCATTATTTCTGGATACCTGATAAAAAATCAACTAATTGATTATTCTGCTGATTTGACAAGTTATTGATTTCGGCATAATAAATTCAAATTGAAAGACTTTAATACGTTTATATCTCTGGTTGAAATAAAAAATTGCTAACACTTAGGTGTTAGTGACTTCTAAAAATCAGATTCTCAAGTATTTTCAAAGATACGATATATTAAAAATTTTTAAGAAAGCTGTAAAATAGAGATGAAATTTTGGTTAGACGTAAAATTAGATTTATTTTTTAATTTGCACCAATTCATGTAATATGCTTATTATACAAGTCTAATTTGTATTAAGTGTTTTTTTAATATTTCTTGCTAAAGCTTTATTGATCACTAAATACATTGGGCAAGCATTTGAACGAAAATTTAATAATGTTGATATTAGCAAATCTATTTAGAACAAATATGGTCTCGCCGGCTATAACAATCGCCTAGCAAAATTCTTTTTTTTTATTTTAATTCTACATATTCATAGAATTAAAATAAAAAAAAATTCATCAAATTTGGTTGAGCAATTGTCATAATATCTTTGCTCAAAGTCTTGAAAAACTTCAGAATATCTCAAAATAGTAACTGTGGTAAAATTTTTTGGAACTTTGAACAAAGATATCTCAATAATTGCTCAGCAAAATTCAATAGGTTTTTTTTATTTTAATTCTACATATTCGTAGAATTAAAATAAAAAAGATTCATTGAATTTGGTTGGGCAATTGTCATGATATCTTTGCTCAAAGTCTTGGAAAACTTCAAAACATCTCAAAATAGTAACTGCGGTAAGATTTTTTTAGAACTTTGAACGAAGATATCTCAACAATCGCCCAGCAAAATTCAATTATTATTTTTTTTATTTAATTATACATATTTGTAGAATTAAAATAAAAAAGATTTATTGAATTTGGTTAGGTAATTGTCATGATATCTTTGCTCAAAGTCTTGGGAAACTTCAGAATGTCTCAAAATAGTAACTGTGGTAAGATTTTTTTAGAACTTTGAATGAAGATATCTCGACAATCACCTAGCAAAATTCAATTATTATTTTTTTATTTTAATTATACATATTCATAGAATTAAAATAAAAAGGATTCATCAAATTTGGTTAAGCGATTGTCATGATATCTTTGCTCAAAGTTATGGGAAACTTCAGAACGTCTCAAAATAGTAACTGCGATAAGATTTTTTGGAACTTTGAACGAAGATATCTCAACAATTGTCCAGCAAAATTCAACAGGAGTTTTTTTTTTATTTTAATTCTACATATTCGTAGAATTAAAATAAAAAAGATTCATCAAATTTGGTTAGGCAATTGTCGTGATATCTTTGCTCAAAGTCTTGAGAAACTTCAGAACGTCTCAAAATAGTAACTGTGGTAAGATTTTTTTAGAACTTTGAACGAAGATATCTCGACAATCGCCCAGCAAAATTCAATTATTAATTTTTTTATTTTAATTATACATATTTGTAGAATTAAAATAAAAAAAGATTCATTGAATTTGGTTGGGCGATTGTCATGATATATTTGCTCAAAGTCTTGGGAAACTTCAGAACATCTCAAAATAGTAACTGTAGTAAGATTTTTTTAGAACTTTGAATGAAGATATCTCGACAATCACCTAGCAAAATTTAATTATTTTTTTTTATTTTAATTATACATATTCATAGAATTAAAATAAAAAAGATTCATCGAATTTGGGTAGGCGATTATCAAGATATCTTCGCACAAAGTCTTGGAAAACTTCAGAATATCTCAAAATAGTAATTGTGGTAAGATTTTTTGGAACTTTGAACAAAGATATCTCAACAATCGCCCAGCAAAATTCAATGAATTTTTTTTTATTTTAATTCTACATATTTGTAGAATTAAAATAAAAAAAGATTCATCGAATTTGGTTGAGCGATTGTCGTGATATCTTTGCTCAAAGTCATGGAAAACTTCAGAACGTCTCAAAATAGTAACTGCGATAAAATTTTTTGGAACTTTGAACGAAGATATCTCAACAATTGCCCAGCAAAATTCAATGGGTGATTTTTTTATTTTAATTCTACATATTCGTAAAATTAAAATAAAAAAGATTCATCAAATTTGGTTGGCCAATTGTCATGATATCTTTGCTCAAAGTCTTGGGAAACTTCAGAACGTCTCAAAATAGTAACTGTGGTAAGATTTTTTTAGAACTTTGAACGAAGATATCTCAACAATCACCCAGCAAAATTCAATTATTATTTTTTTTATTTTAATTATACATATTCGTAGAATTAAAATAAAAAAAGATTCATCGAATTTGGTTAGGTGATTGTTATGATATCTTTGCTCAAAGTCTTGGGAAACTTCAGAATGTCTCAAAATAGTAACTGTGGTAAGATTTTTTT